GAATGAGTTTCAGAGTACCTAGTATAAATTTTGTATTTTATTTCCTTGTACGTCAAGAAACATAGCCACTATGGCTAAAATGGAACATAGGGGTAAAATGCATTTTTTTGCTTTTGAAGAAAATATGACAGATATAAGGAACATTTAAATGGCATTTTTAAGCCACTCATTAATATATATTGAAAAGCAAAAAATAATAATTGATGAAAGATTTAAGCAAAAAATTACAGGTGAGCGGTTCGGGCTCTTGAGAGCCTCTTGTTCGAAATACTACAGATTTTCTACCCCGGGAATAGAAAACCTTAGCTGTATTTGGAAAAAAAACTTTCGGAATTTGGGGCCCTCAATGCTCCTCAACTTCGTGCTTAATTTGACCTTTTTACAGTTTTTAATTCGAGCGTCACTAGTGAAACTTTTGTAGTCAAAACGCGCGTCTGACATTAAAACATTTTAAGCCTGGTAACGGTATCTATGAGGAGTTTATTTACATCAACTTACGGTCTATATCTTTTTATTTGAAAATTCTAGCAATTCGCAACAATTATAGTTATATTAATCAGACTTTCTAAATAGTAAAATTTTACATGTAGAATAAAAAGCTTTAACGAAGTAAATTACTGTGTAGGTGTCACACCAACAATTTAACCAATCATTACCAAGAACGTTTTGTGAAATTATGCAACCTCTGGCAAAACATAGCACTTTTCATATTGCTGCGTTAAGCCCGCTGTTGTTAACCTGGCAGCGATTGTTTGTCAATTTTCACACTTTATTTTCATACTAGAAAAAGAGCGAGGTTAATTTTATTCGCGTTATTTTTCTAATCACAAAAGTCGGGTAAATAAATTGGTTGCCAAAATTAATTGGTTTGAAGTCTTGTGTTTTTCCAAACTACATTATAAAGAAAACCCATAAAACTGTATCCAAGCAATAACACGAATAAGTAAAATCTTTTCTTTTTTTACATTGCAATGCTTTGCCGCAGGCTATAATCTGTTTGGGTTTCTAATGGTACGATTTACCGTACGAAGATCTCATATAACTGCAATAAGTGTCTGATATCAGTTGATATAAACACCCATACAAAATGGTATGTTTAGATGTGAGGAAAACAAGCGTTAAAATGAGATAACTTAAGAACAGTCTTGTTATGGTGGATTCTAATTGCTTGCTATTTAACTTTATTTTAATGTGTTTATCATGAACAAAATCCCTTCATATACAATCTGTACACTTCAAAACTTCGAACGTCACTTAAATTAACCAAGCGAAGTAGGAGGAGTATTGCTCATTACAAAGTTTTTTTTATACTAATGAAACAAATTGGTGTATGGACAAGATGATTCCTACATTTCCGATAAGCACCAATATAACACCATAACCAAAGCGATAAAAGTAGGACAAACAACAGTCCTCAAAACACTACACCGAAATGTACGAACACTTCCTTAAACCGGTGGTGAGTAATTGCTCAGGAAGGGTAATCATTCTTCCACAATATCAATTTTCTGTCATTACTGATAAAACAACTACATTTGTTATATAGTATGCAATAACGTGATAACAAAAAATAGCCGTATTTGTGATAGTAATGCGCGTTGCAAACAGTAGTCATTCGAATATTCCACTTTGGACATCGACAAAACATATTTTTACTGCATATACCGTGTATATTCCATATATACTTTTATCACCATTTTTTTTAATATGGAAAATATTTTCTCCTGATATTGACAACAATCGATGTGTTATCTAAACAATGAAAAGCAAAATGATTCCTATTTGCAGATGGTGGTATTTAGGGCAACTGCAAAAGCTTCCTTAGAAGGCTGATTCCTCATCAATTTGATATTGATTGCAGTTAAACTTTCACCTATAAACGATAAATTTATTCTATTTTTGACATACAAATATTGATACCTGAAGAAATATTTTGCTTTTAGCGCAATTTTATAATTTTTGAAGTATTTTTTAAAAATTGCATTTTTCTGCAAATATTGCGCAATTGATATTTTTGAAATTATGGTATTATGTTCTATTATATCCATATGAGGTTTAAAAATATCATACAAGAATCAGCAAAGAACATTTTATATAATTCTTGTGAAATTTGGGAATGTCCATTTTTGACATTTTATCTTGATTTAACAAAAAATGCACCATGCGAATTATTGACGACCGGGCAAAATAGAAAGTACAGATAATAAGCTTTCGAATGATATATAAAATAGCCGTATGTTAGGTGGGTGCATTAAAGTCGTTAACTAAGCGTCAGTTTGAAAAATGTCACTCGCCTAGTAAGGACTAGGAAGAAAATATTTGTACCCGACTTATCTTAAACGGGTGTTGGTGGTTGGGGGTGTCTGTTGTACTGTGGGTGATATCTCTACGATGCCTGATACATTTTTTCTTATTGTATTGACATTAAGAATACTATTAAAACAAAAAAGGTAGTTTTCTTGAAATTGAAATAGATGGACCACTTCAAACAAGAATCTATGACAAACATGACGATTTCAGCTTTCCCATTTTAAATTTGACGTTTCTCTGGTGAAATATACTCTTTACCCCATGGTATGGCGTTAACATATCTCAATTGATGCGTTACGCGCGTGCATGTATGGACATGATTAACAGAGATGTGCTCCTGCGGCGCAAAAACTGTCCGAACAAGATCGATTGGAATCGACACATAACACAAGTTTGACAATCACTATCACGAATTCGTTGACCGATATGAAGTGTCTGTGTTTCAACTCACACGATTTTATTTTTGCAGTCTTAGATTTTTTGCTATCAAAATAGTTGTCTGATTTATACAATTAGCAATTGTGTCATATTCCCAAATTTGACATTTTGACTGAGCGTGGATTCAGATGGCGAGTGATGGCATATAATGAGACAATTATCAAGTCAATACACCCGGTCTCGCTCCGTTAGAAGATCATGCTATTCCTTCGTGTCTTCTTTTAATATCTTATCTTGATTTGTATATTCCTTATGCATGTTCATCAAATGAGCATCGGTAGACAACTGTTTCCTTTCGTTTACTATAACGAAATATGGTCTACATAGCCAATATGGGAAAAGGGTTGTAAGCGCATACAACTGGTTTAACCTCGATACATTTTGTAACTGTTCCATGCAAGTCAGGCTATTAAGACTGTGTGATGTTCGCTGTTTCATTTATTTGTTTGTTCGTCTAGTTTTTCGGATGAGTTGATGTGGTAGTCGATTGTTAGTGGTTGGTTTTGTATATTGTATTCTGCATATTGCATGGGTAATGACGTTTGTTTTGTATATGTAAGAGAATGATAATCCCTTTCTTCATGATTAAGTACGAGCGTTAGCGAGTACTTATCATGAAGTAAGGGATTATCATTCTCTTACAAACTTAGAATATTGTAAAGTGCTCAAGGCTTAAATGATCTCTAAATTGGTTGTATTTAATAATTAGTTTCATTGTCAGTGCAATGTTTATATTTAATGCATGACTTCCTTTTTAGGCATTTCATTTATGGATTAGTTTTAGTGATGTAAGGACTCTTATTATTTGGGAAATATTTAAAAAAAATGTGTTATACATATTAGGTAGCACAACAGAACAAAGAAAATGTAGGAATTGTATATGTTTCCTGATTGTGAGTATGAATGTAAATCATGTAATATTTTAGTGAGGAATTATCCTTTTTTTAATTTACAGTTTAAATCAATTGATACATTTAAAATAAATTTTATTTAACAGCCAATATTTTGGTCCGGCTTTTTACATCAAATACTATTTAATTATATCAGGGAAATGTTCAAATAAAGTGCCTTTAAAAGTTTTTAAAAGTTTAATTCCTGTTTTGTTTTGTTTTGTTATTTTATCGAAACATTGGAAATAACTATTCTTCCCAACCGCTAATCCAGTGATCAAAGTTTTTGGAAAACTAAAGATTAAGGTATTTTTTTTATTTTAAAGCTGTTTTTTTTTATTTTAAAACTGTTTTTTTTTCTTTTTTTGCAAATGCTTTGATATTGTTTACTTATTTAGTAATTTGAAGTTATTAATGTTTTCATAATAATATTCACGGTACTAAATTTACTGCACAGTAAACTTTAACTTATTTTGAGTTATTTGTTTGTTTCACAATTCAACTTTTAGTCAGTTTCAATCACTGTGTGAAAAATCCTTTCAATCCGATAAATGTGCTTCGGGGCAGTTGTAACTCATTTATAGAAACTCTTTGTTTTGAACAGTAGATAGACCCAAATAATAGGATAATCCTTTACTAAGAACATGATTTACATTCATTCTTCACAATTAAGAAGCATCAAATCCTACAATTTCATTGGTCGAGAGCACTTTGCTATATTCTAACTTTTTATATGAATTTAACTCATGACAGTAATGAAGCACTGCTTACTGGAGGGTTTGTATCCATAATAGTAATCACTTTTGTGTTTAATCGTGAATTTTCGGTACATTTTCTGTTCAGTAAATGTTGATTTATTCGAAACAATAAGGTTTAAAAAAAAAAAAAACCTAGGCTGTATTTGACACAACTTTTCGAAATTTTTGGTTTTCAATGCTCTTTAACTTCGAATTTATTTGATCTTCAAACTGTTTGATTCGAATTCCATTGATGAGTCTTATGTAGACACAGTGCTGGTGGACGTTTCGTTATCGAGGGTATTACCAGCCCAAATTTCAACACTTATTTTGTTGACATAAAATATTATTGATCGTTCATTTTCTGTAAATTTAATATTTATAAAATATCGAATTATTCAAAACACTAAGATTTTCTAGCCCAGGCATAAATGGCCGTAGCTGTGTTTGGCGCAACTTTTCGAAAATATAGATTTTCAATGCTCTTTAACTTTGGACTGGATTTGGCTTCCAACTGTTTTGATTCGAGTGTCACTGCCGAGTTTCATGTAGACGAAATCAGCATCTGGCGTACCAAATTATAAACCTAATATTTTTAATGAGTATTTTGTTGGAAGAAGAAACATTTAATATCTATAGGTTTAATTCTGTATTTCATTACAGTTGGCTACTTTATTTTTCTGATGATAAATTATTCATTCATTTGTAACTATTGCGACATATCTTTCCACAATTCTAAATTGAGGCTAGGGACATCTTTGCAATATACTTTCCTGCCTCTGAAAAAGAAGAAATACGTGTACTTGTATTTGAAATAAATCTTTCATAAAAGGTTGTTTATTTCAATCCAATAAATAATAATATTACTTTCTTTGCTTTGTTCGTATTTTGTAAGATAACTCATGTCAAAGACAAGTCATCACGCATGGTCACATTTTAAAATGATTCAGATAACTTTGGTTTTCCTTTTGCATAAAAAAAATCAATATATAATTTGGAATATCTGAAAGTTGGTTCCAAATCCCGGAGTTAAAATTTAATTTTGTCACGGAAAAAATGCACAGTTGAACACCGATTTAAACTACTATCTTTCATCACAATGCTCTGATTCCCCAATCAACAACATATTTTTGTTTTGTTTGATAAACATTTTATTGGAACACATTCATGATCATTACTCTCGTTACCGACATCTTCTCGCCAACCGGTTCCTTTACTCATAAGATGCAAACATCATGTAGCGGCTTCTAAAGAATAATGACAAGAAGTTTGAAGTAATATGTGAATTGTATTAACAAATTATTTTAACTATCTCATATGAAAAAAGGCTTAATACCACATGCTATAGGTTAAGCCATATTATAAATACAAATTCGACAACGTGGACAGATTCGGGAAAAAGATGACTTAACATTTTTGAATGGTTTAAGTAAATATTTTCCAATATAACATAGGGTCGATTTTGAATGATAAAATATATGTGTCAAAGAAGACAACGAATATGTACTCTTTCATAAGTGACAATCCAGCCCCCGAGTTTAATTTTCATGCTATGTATTTGTACATGTTTCGTTTTACTAAATACGATTATCAAGACTCAGGGATTATTAATGATGGTATAAACTTGATCAAAATTTAGATAAATGTAGCTGATTTCAAATAGAAAGTTTGTCAAAATTAGGGTGGTATACAGATGCATTTGTGAAAAAAAAACAACATCAAAGATAATGTACAAGATTTCGTTTCATCTTGTTCTATAGTATCTTACAAATTATATCTTATTACCAGTAAACAGTTTAGACAAAAATAATTTGGTTAATTTTGACAGGTTATTATCATCAAAAAGCTGGTGCAACTATATTTAAAGCTGCCTTTTATTAAAACATCAAAAATCCAGCCAGGAATATTTTTAATATCACTTTTTAAGTTTATGGACACTACTGTTATATCATGTACATGATGCAGAATTTCGTGTCAGGTTTTGTTGATCACAGATGAACTCAAGATTTTTGTGATTCGATTTAATCATAGGCGATCCTGATTCTCGTTCAGCTTTGATTTGCTATTTTTTTTTATATATATATATACGATTTGGCGATGTTTTATTTAAATAAAATATATGTTATTTAATGCATTTGTGATCGATACCAAATTGCCAGAAAAACGCGTTTAACTTTTTATTACATTATCATAGTGTAAATTTATGTCTTAAAAAGTCTTTTCTTTACATGTAATTTGGTGTAGTGTAAGCTTACCTCTTCAGGAATGCATTAGGTTGAATCTTTGGTAGGTTAAAATTGTCACAAAACATCTTTGACAATCTCATTGATTTAATGGAATTAAGTTGATCTATGATAAAGAAAATTTAAATTATTAGCATTTTGTTTGTCTGTCATATCATGCTACTTCTAACTGAACTAGTATACATTATACATTTATTTCCCGTGCCGGAGGGAGATATGAAGATTTGTTCACCCAAGAATATTCATATTTCACGAGGGCTCTGCCCGAGAGAAATATGATCTTTCGAGGGTGAATAAATCTTCATATCTCCCGAGGCCAAGGGAAATGAATGTTTTATTCCACTGCCAATGCTTTGTTTACTATCAATACATTAAATATTATTTTGCATACATTTTTTTCTTATCCGCTTGTTTTTGTAAGTCAAACTAAACACGACATACCCATTGATAAACAGTAAGGATCAAAATTTAATTATAAGTCTTTTTGTTTTATCGTCTGAAATAAATTTGAACATGATAATGATTTTTGCTATAGCTGTTTTAAGAAGAATAAGAAGTTCAAAACGTTATGTATATTAACCGCGCGTAACGTCGCACGAAGTAATCCCGATATTTCAGAGGGGAATATGATCCTCAGAATGGAATATGAAGATTTGTCCAATGACACGTGGGATAGTCTCAACCAAACAAATATTGATTAAACTATCAATATGTTTAAACAGTGGAATAATATTGTTTAGTAGCCATCTGAAGCTCGTCTCCGGTGCAGGATTTTTCGCTGCGTTGAAGACTCATTGGTGGCCTTGGGCTATTTTCTGCTGTTTGGTCGGGTTGTTGTCTCTTTGACACATTCCCCGTTTCCATTCTCAATTTTATTAATGTAAAGTTGATTAAACTTACCTTGATGGATGACATTTTATATTAATACTGTTTCTATATATCCCCTGAATAGTTCTTTTTTATAGTGTTTTCAAAACTATGATTTAAGATATCTTCCGTACGTCGGATTGCTGCACTAGGTTGGTGAAATCATTTTACCTTATATCTTCAATTCTACCAGATTGGTCGAGGTGGACAAAGTAATATTTTTACATGCTGGTTAGTGTTTTAGTCCTTAGTAAACATTAATTTAATATTTTATTTACGCGAAATGTGTGGATGTTACTTCAGGATAAAGATAGTGTTACTTATATATGGAAAACCAATTTTCTGTTTGATTATGGACCTATAATTTCTATTTCATTATTCATACGAAATTTCTTTGAACCTAGATATTAAAAAAATCCGCTGTAAGCGTTAAACGACATTAAAGACAAATTGATAACATGTAAGAATGACGACTCCCTTTAATGCTAAATAAAAAGGTTTTTAATATGTACGAAATGCAAATATTTTTCAATTGATTTTAAACTCTTAGAAAAGATTTCAGTTCATTCGATTGTAATAACTTTGACGTTAATACATTTTTATAACCAACGAGTTTTAGGTTATCAAAAAAATGAAAACAACATGCGTCCGAAGCGATTTTATGGATTTATCTTCAGCAGGAACGCTCAAAGCCGAATATTTGAAAGCCAAGGATGTATAAGAACCTAATTAGTTGAAGAGCTATATAACCAAAAAGGGCCTTACAAAATAGCCAAATCCATCTAAGGTCAACTTTGCCTGAGGGAGTTGAAACCTTAGTTTCTTATAATATCAAAATTTATCAAACATATAAACAGTTTAGAGTCATGATTTCCTTGATAGAGGGTTGCTGCTTACAAAAAAGCTATTGAACCAAAAGTTACAAGTGATGAAGTTGAAATCATCCAATCGAAAATTTTATGGACGCCTCCACGAGTTGGTTGATCGTTATGGAATATCTGTTTCACAGATGACAACAAATATGTTCCAATAGTTGTAACAATAATCCCGTCCTCTTACTCAAATTGGGCCTAGCGATTTAGGCTTATCACCGTGTTTGTACTTTTCTTGAGCAACACAATGGGTGCCACATGTGGAGCTGCATCTGCTTACGCTTCCGGAGCACCTTGGATCACCCCGGTTTTTGGTGGGGTTCGTGTTGCTCAGTCTTTAGTTTTCTATGTTATGTTTTGTGTACTGTTGGTTTTTTTCGGTTTTTTTTTTTGTCCATAGCATTGTCAGTTTATTTTCGACTTATAAGTTTGAATGTCATTTGGTATCTTTCCCTTCTCTTGTAGAGTGCATGTGAATATAAAATACAAATACCAGTACTAATAATTTTTCAAAAAGCAAATAAAGCTCACTGAAGCTAAAGCTAACTGAACAAAAAAGAACTTATCTGCCTTGTAGAAGTTTAACTAACAATCCGTTCGTTAACGATTAAACTAAAATAATGAGTCTACTTAATATCATGCAAAGGAATAAAATAATAAAGTAAGATGATTTTTTCGTTCGTTTGCTACTTCTAATAACATACCCCGAGTAAATCCCGCCTTTCCACGAGGTCTCTCATACCAGTGTCTATCGCCACTTTTCATGGCTTGAAACTGACGTACGAATATACATTGGAAGGTTGGGCCTAGTAAACTACCTGCTTTTGCTGTTTCAGAAATAGCTCCAGCGTACAAATCAATGTGTGATTCGTGTTTGAAAATAAAAGCATTACAATTTAGTGGGTTTAAACCTTGTGTGTTTTATCTCAGACAACAGAAAGAAAAGGACAATTGCATTCGATATGAACCGATATTACATAAGTGTATTTTCAAAAGAAAGACGACGGGTACTGCTAGTGGATCATCAGTTGCCTACCCTCCAGAGCTTCTAAATTCAAACCCGTTTTTTTGTGCAATTCATTTTATTTTACCTATGTTGATTATTGTTTGCCTTTCTGCATTTTTTGCTTTTGGCTATTATGTTGCCTCTTCCTTTACGACTTATAATTCTTATATCTATGATTGCTTTATGATCCTTTATCACCAATTACATAGCGTAGGTTATATGAAGCTGTTCGTCTCGAGCGTTAATATCGTAGGATAACTTATTATAGAACACTTGTGCGTACTGACATCTGTATAATACAAATAAATTATTACCACTTGCACTTGCCCCTGCTGTTTGACTATCGGTCACCGACTATAGCATATGCACAGTATTCAGAGCTTTGGTAATGTCATGATCAAAATGAACAATTTGGTTTCTCAATTTTCAGCAATTACATAAGGTTATACTACTTAAACAAAACTTTCAAAAGCTCTGTTCTGTTTAGGTCTTTATAGATTATGATGCTCTGAAATGCTTTATTAATTTCCATTCTAAAATTTATTTATTTGACTCTGATATGTTCACAAGTGTAACGATGATTTATCATGATATATATGTTTGTTCAATAAAATAAGTATGAAATAGGTTTATATTATAGTAGACACTTGAGACATTCATACCTGTACAGTTCTTTGATTTTATCAGAGCTTTCTTTATCGTGATCGACAATAGGATCATCGCAAAATTTTATTGGTATCAAACCACAAAATTGTCTCCATGTATTGTAATCTGGCAGACCATGATCTCGTCCTCTCTGAATATTTCGAGCAGCTAAATCATGACTTGTTCCTTCCATTTTAAACAACTTGTTCCGTACTTCAGGCTGGAAAAATCTACAGCATATTTGTGGGTAATTTAGAAAATCCATACGAAGCGTAACAATTGCAACATATATATACATATATATATATATTTAACATTTCGTTGTCAAGATATTTGGAAAAGAAGTCGAAACAATTTTTTTTCGAATGATATCGCTAAAAAGGAGTTCGTTTGCTGATAAAAGCTATAAAGCCTTTTTACATCTAATCAGAAATGGGGCAAACAGATTACAACTCATCACTTTTGAGCTGCTGAAAAAATACGGAGTCATTCTGTGCAGTATTTTTGGAAGAAATATGTGACGAAACATCTTCAGTGCAAATGACATATTGATTGAAAGAAAAAACGGAGAAAAAAAGGGAGAGATACCTGGACCAAAATACTTGCTATAGACGTACAGCTTTAAAAACAGGCCATCATCGAGACAAACAAAGACGAATTTGAAAATGTTTGTAATGTGGGGAGGTGATTTCTAAACAATACCATTTTCAACGGACTCATCGAAGGTAATGTTTACAATTATATAGATTAGATCAGATTAATGAACTTATTGATTGATTGATAAACAAAATGACCAATATCACGCTGTCATTCGGTATATCGATAAAAAATATGAAAGAATAAAAAGCGATGATCAAGTATCGTGATCGGATCGTGAAAGAAATTCAATGCGATTCAACTTCAAAATCCTTGGTATAATCAAAAGGCGAAAAAATCAGAAAAAGACAGATGTCTGCGAAAATGATTAATACTTCTCAATAATACTGCTCAATAAGGAACAGAAAAATTAGCACTTTTTAAAATCATTTGAAACAAGTTTCTGGTAATTAAGATGTTCGGGAAACTATTTTTATGTATGCACATATACTTGACTACGACGTCTGTGCACTTATTTTAAATTTATCACGAATTTATTTCGTCTTATCAACAAAAAAATATTTCATTCGGTATTTTTTTATCGAAAACTTTGGCTGTTAATTAACTTTCGAGTATTTTGTTGCCGCGGTTAACCGATCGTGTTCTTGATAAACAATCTACACAGAATCATGTATATTGAACACGGTAAGCGCGTGTATAAGCGAATTGATAGAATGATATTTATTTTTTTTATATTTCCAATGCGTTCCTATTTGTCAACTATAAACAGTTGTTAAATGATTTGGTGTACTATGATTTTTCTTTCAGAATCGATTAATACTATTTTCCTTCCACTTTGTTTACTTTTTCTTCCATCACGGTTGTCCTCTTAGGACTTGTGCAGGGGAATGTCGAATTTCTAACGTAAGGTGTCATATATTAAGGTCGCTGCATACAGAAAAGCTATCGGCGGATCAGAGAACGAGAAGACATGAATCCAATGGCAGTACATTTCCTAATGATTTGAAATAAAACAAAGGATTGTGTGTTTAAAGAAAGTATGTGCACATTCGTTTTAAAATAAATATAAGCCATTCAGTTACGTAAAACATATTAATATTTTTGTCAAAATGTTGGATT